AGCATTAGTGTTAACACGTCATTCACCATGGCAACGGTTAAATAAAGCGCAAAGCCTCAATTGCAGTGAAAGAGAAATAGTTTTAGAAGATAAAGATATAACTGAAACAGATCAGACAGAAGTTTATAGATATAAAGGAAATAGATCAGACATGGTCACTGATTCAGTGAAAGTGATCTGAGTTTCTGAAACAGAAAACCCAGAGTTGCCGTAATCCCAAGGTTCAGAAACTCAGAGTTTTCACTAAACCTGCTTTCTGGAATAGACTCCTGGAAAGGAAATGCTCTCCTGTATCGGTCGAGGAAGTAGTAGCAGATCGCTCCATTGAACCAATCTGGGTTTAGATTGAGGAATGACCGCCTACCTAATTAACATACAGACAGAGAAATAAATAAATATATACATGAATGAATACATGACTAAATAAATGAGCAAATAAATAAACGAAAATAAATACATGTAGAAATGTATAAATAAATACATAAATAAATTTAGAAATGTATAAATAACTAAATGCAAAAATACATAAGTAGCATTTTTATTACCAAAATGTTATTTATATATTTAATTATTTATTTCAGCATATATTCATTTATCTATACTTATGTCATTTTTTGACATTCCACAAGCGGTGGAATGAAGAAGCACATTTAAGTATTGGACCTTTAAGTAGTAAACATAAGCACAGTATTTCTCAACATGTGGGGGATATACACTCACCGGCCACTTTATTAGGTACATCTCTTCAACTGCTCATTAACGCAAATATCTAATAAGCCAATCACATGGCGGCAACTCAATGCATTTAGGCATTAAGGCATGTAGACATGGTCAAGACGATCTGCTGAAGTTCAAACCGAGCATCACAATAGGAAAGAGAGGTGATTTAAGTGGCATGGTTGTTGATGCCAGACGGGCTGGTCTGAGTATTTCAGAAACTGCTGATCTACTGGGATTTTCACGCACAACCATCTCTAGGGTTTACAGAGAATGGTCCGAAAAAGAGAAAATGTCCAGTGAGCGGTAGTTTTCTGGGCGAAAATGCCTTGTTGATGCCAGAGGTCAGAGGAGAATGGCCAGATTGTACAACATGTCAAACCTTGAATCAGATGGGCTACAGCAGCAGAAGACCACACCGGGTGCCACACCTGTCAGCTAACAACAGGAAACTGACAATTCAAACAGGCTCAACAAAATTGAAGAAAAACGTTGCCTGGTCTGATGAGTCTCGATTTCTGCTGCGACATTCATATGGTAGGGCCAGAATTTGGCATAAACAACATGAAGCAACATAAAAGCATTTCATCAACCGCTCAACCCATGGAAGTGCTGACGAACGGTTCTTGAGAAACCTTCAAACACTAGTTTTCCCCGTTCAGACACGGTCATAACCTCTGTCTCAGGTGATCCAATAACAAGTGGAAAGCTCAAAGTACAGGAGTGAACAGGGAGTGAACCCACCACATTTTACAGCTTTACTCTCCCAAACCAAGTTTCCTGGTTGAAGTTTAGTTTGACTTTGAACCAACGTTGTGACGCAGATTATTTTCTCCTCTGAAGGTAATGTGAGCAGTTTTTAATGTTTTACTCGTTAACACCTGTCGTTACCTGAGTTATCTAACCTTCAACTCATCGTGGTGTTGTTGTTGTGTTATTATAATGTTGCTGTAACTGAGTCAGAGCTGTAACTGTAAAGTCTGGACCGACATTAAACGTGTCCGCCATGTTGCGTGAATATTTGTGGTAGAAGCAGTGGAATAAGGGCGCATGTCCATAGAGCTATTTTCTGGCAGGGGCTGAGGAGCGTCTCATCCCAGCGCTTCGTCAGTAAACCTCTGCACAAGGGTTTTGTTTCCATGACAATATCTTGACAACATATAACCACCGCCATTCAGTGTCCACAAGATCTGCACCCACAACTGAGCTTCTTATGCTGCGGTGCCGTCGACAGCCAGGGCAGGAGGCTTTATGTTTTAAGATAGTCCATCCGTCCCATTCTCGTGAACATGCTATCTCTGACACCTGGAGGAATTTTAGTTTTTCAAATTTGGCACAAACATTCATTTGGAATGATGGAACGGATGAACTGATTAGATTTTGGTCAAAGGTCAAAGTTCACAGTAATTTTTCTATCATTAAGTTTCTGATCTGTATCTGACTCTTTCCTCCCGCCCCCCGTTTCCTGGTTGAAGCTTATTTGCACTTTGAACCAACATTGTGACGCAGATTATTTTGTCCTCTGAAGGAACACTACCAGAAAGAAAACTCTGGTGGAGAAATACTGAATCAAATATTTGTTAGGTCATGTTAACAAGTTCAATTTAAATATATCATCTAAAAAATATAATATACCGACAAAACAACCATCATTTTTTTCACTGTAAACTCCTCCCAGTTACTAAATTCCTCAAAGGCCATGACCTCATTGTCTCCAATACTAATTACAGCGTGATGATTAATATGCTGCTTATAACTAATTAATTAAGTGTAAGTGTAAGAATCCCTGTCTAATTTGTTTTGTGTAATAAACAAATATTGTTAAATTTTTTTCTATAATTTGAAAACTTGGTTCTTGTACCTGTAACCTTACTAATGAATGGAAGAATGTCTGTCTGTGTTTTGATTTTTTCATCAACCACTCAACCCATGGAAGTGCTGCCGAGCGGTTCTTGAAAAACCTTCAAACACTAGTTTTACCCGTTCAGACATCTGTCAACATCTGTCTCAGGTGATCCAATAACAAGTGGAAAGCTCAAAGTACAGGAGTGAACAGGGAGTGAACCCACCACATTTTACAGCTTTACTCTCCCAAACCAGGTTTCCTGGTTGAAGTTTAGTTTCACTTTGAACCAACGTTGTGACGCAGATTATTTTCTCCTCTGAAGGTGATGTGAGCAGTTTTTAATGTTTTACTCGTTAACACCTGTCGTTACCTGAGTTATCTAACCTTCAACTCATCGTGGTGTTGTTGTTGTGTTATTATAATGTTACTGTAACTGAGTCAGAGCTGTAACTGTAAAGTCTGGACCGACATTAAACGTGTCCGCCATGTTGTGTTGATCTTCGCGGTAGAAGCGGGGGAATAAGAGTAGAAGTTAGTCGATGGTCAGTAGTTGAACACAGAGTCGTTATTTCTGTGTAGCTCCACTTACTGATGACTGGAGGCAGCTTTTCCCGCCTGAATCAGCCTGTGGAGGAGGCGGAGATGAGCCGCTGCTCTCCCGCTGTCTGAGCCACTAATCGCGGTCTGAGCTCGTCCGGACAGCCGCTGGAGAACAGCTGTGACTTTCTCTGTGGGTGAGTGGTCTGTCATTAGATTTACACTACAGGACTGATGTGGACTCAGTGTGGCGGGCTGAGGGGCTGACAGGGTTTTTAAGGCTCTATATGATGTTCAGAAAGACAGTTAACACCGCATCACATGAGTCACAGGCTCCTGGTTCTCCAACAGGAAGTAGTGTGGTTTCTTTATACCTATTAGACTGATCAATACTGACTATTACTCCCTATCACTGATCAATACTAAACATGTCATGTTGTTGTCAGAGCTTTACTGAGACTTTTTTATTTATTTCACATTGATGGATCAATGTTCAGGATCAGATGCTTCAAAGTAACTGAGTACATCTACTCAAGTACAGTTTGAGGTACTTGTACTTTACTTGAGTATTTCCTTGTTCTGCTACTTAGTACTTGTACTGCAGCTCATGTACCTGACAGGTGTAGCTGCTGGTGACTTTCCAGCTGCAGGTTGTAGATTAAAAACACATGATCAGCATCAAACACATGATTAAAGATGAAACCACAGCATGTTTGTCCTGTGACTCTGTCGGTTCCATCAGCTCAGATTCATTTGAATGAATGAATTAGAAGAGGAGCAGCTGGACACTGTCTCTGTTTCCCTGATAATTCATGTCTGTAATTAGAGTCCTTCACAGGAAACTGTGAAGGACTCTAATGATGAATATTGTTATTAAGGATCTTTTACAGCTGCAACATTTGTCAATCAGAAAAATCAAATAATTTTCTTGAAGATTTCCTTCTTTTCTCTGTTTCATTTGGTTGTAAACTGAATATTTTTGGGTATATTATAAAAATGATGAATATTGTTATTAAGGATCTTTTACAGTTGCAACGTTTGTTCAACCAACATTTTTATGCAGAAAAATCAAGAAATTTTCTGTTTTCATTCTCAAACAAATGAAGATTTCCTTCTTTTCTCTGTTTCATTTGATTATAACTGAATATTTTTGGGTCTTTGATTGTTGCTCTGACAAAACAAGACATTTGAAGACGTCACCTCAGACTGTGAGAAACTTTAATGGATCATTTGTCTTTATTTTCTGACATTTTCTCGACCAAATGACGAATCGATTGATGGAGAAAATAAGTGTCAGTCGCAGCTCTAGAGTCTTTTTATATGATTTAATTCTCAGTGTCAGTGAAATGAGTGAATGTTGTGATATTGGAGCTGTGAGGTGAAATAAATTCAGTCCCAGTTGCTGTGTGTGAAATAATCAGCTGTAGCTTGTTTCAGTAAGTCATTTTCTACAGGGACGCTGTGACACAGAGACTGTGTCAGATAAACTCAGTGGATCTCAGTCCTTCTGTGAGTCAGTGGATGGAAAGACTCGTCCATGATGGTGTGTTTGCTGGACTGCTCTTCACTTCACTGCAGCTTCATGACGCCATCTAGTGGACTGATAGTAGAAGTACAGCAGCTGATGGCAGCTTCCTCTTCCTCACGCTGCTGTCTGACTGCATTCAACTGACACTGATATGAAACAGAGAAGAAGAGCCAGTCAGTGGAGGAGCAGCTGATATTTTTACAGGAGGAATGATGTACATTTCAGTTGATGTGCAGATGAATGATGTGTGTTTCCTCTGCAGATGAAGGTAGAAAGTGTGTGTGAGCTGATGTGGATGTGAACTCAGCAGCATGGATCAGTGTGAGGACAGAGAGGAGGGAGCCCCTCCCTCTAAAACCACTCTGTGTGGGGAACATGAGAGAAAGACCAGAGCTCAGAGGTGAGATGAGGATCTCTAACTGTCCATGACTCTTCTCCATGTCAGAGCTCAGCACTCAGATCACTGCTCCATCATTATTCACACTCAAAGCTCTGTGTGTTGTGTTGAAGCAGAAAACAGCAGCACAAGTTTTATCCAACATGCACATTCATCAGTTCTGTTTCTGTTTCAGGATCCAGCAGCAGAGACCAGACTCTCCTGAACCCAGCTGTCTGTCTTTAAAGAGCGACCGGTCGAAGGGTCTTATCATTAACTTTAAAGGACGACGTCCGTCAGCTGATCAGATGTAAGCTGTAACTGACAGTAAGACTCAGGTTATTCTAGAAAAGAACTAATTTGTTCGACATGTTGTTCGACCACGTCTGAAATCAGAGACCTTACAATAATAAAATAAATTAAGCTGATATTACTTCAACCTACTTTATTCATGCATCCAGGTATATCCTTTGCCTTTAGGGTATTAAACATAGGAATCAAATGCAATGTAATAGGAATAAACATTGAAGTTAAGTAAAGTAGTTTTTATTCAGTCATCACATAACACAGTGCAGATAAACAATATAGACAGCAAAAAAACCAAAGTCAGCGGTCTATGTATTAAGTAGTGACTGAACAGGTTCAGGCTGAAGCAAAATGCTTCAGTATGCTTGCCTACATGCTTAACAATTTAAGCTGTCCACCAAAAAGAAAAGACTTGTTCACACTTGTAACCCTGAGAAGGACCTCTGTAAACTACTCTTTTGAAAACCAAAAACACATTACACATGTTAGAAGTTCAGAACAGCAGCACACTGCTGGACCTGGACTCAGCTGCTCCATGAAGTGTCCTTTTAATTTTAATCTGGTGGTAGAAGGTCAGAATGTAAACCTGATATTTGTCATCAGATTCTATCCACCATTCACATTCATCAGTTCTGTTTCTGTTTCAGGATCCAGCAGCAGAGACCAGACTCTCCTGAACCCAGCTGTCTGTCTTTAAAGAGCAACCTGTCGAAGGGCTGGGACATTAACTTTAAAGGACGACGTCCGTCAGCTGATCAGATGTAAGCTGTAACTGACAGTAAGACTCAGGTTATTCTAGAAAAGAACTAGTTTGTACGACGTGTTGTTTGACCACGTCTGAAATCAAAGAGTTTCTGTCTGTTGTGAACGTCCTCACTGGAAGGTGGAGGTAAAACTCTGTCCGTCATAGAGAGGGGGGAGACGTGATGTGGTTTAAACATGGAGATAACTTCTCCATGTTCACACAGTCTCTCCTGGAAGACATTCATAGAGTTGACCTCAGTTGTTCACATGAAAAGTGACAGAAACAGTTTGTGTGAAGAGAGAAGTTCAAACCCCGCCCACTTCCTCACCTGCACTCAGCTGACCAATCACTGCCTTGCTTCAGGGCACGTCAGCAGTGTTCAGTGAGGGAGGGAGAGCTATATGGAGGGTTGGTGAGAGCTGTTGGGACTAAACCAAACTGACTGAAGCCAAACACTGAGCTGAAAGCTACAAGCAGCTGCAGACTGAGCTGTTGATTCTCAGTGGGATCAGCAGGACTAGTAAACCTTTACCACTACAGGGAGTCGTCTGATTGGCTGTCACATCCAAACATGACTTCATGGACCTTTAGCTTGTGTCTGTCTCTGTGTGGACAGACATAATGTGAGCTCATTCTTCATGATTCCTCCACAGAGTGGACCAGGAGAGCTCAGAGGTTCCCAGTGCTCAGTCTGCCCAGCAGCATCAAACACAGCTGGACTCCATATTTATGGTCTGTACATGTACAACAACTACTGCTCCATCTGTTGTGTTCACAATAATCTCCATGCTGCACTTTCAGACCAGTGGACTGTCAGTCTGTCCAACATGGATCTGATGTTTGATGCTGTCATTCATATAGTTTTCTGTTCCAGCTGCTGGAGGAGAACATGGTCACTTTTGTGAAGAACGAGCTGAAGAAGATGCAGAAGCTTCTGAGTCCAGATTACCCAGAATGCTCAGGGAGTCAGAGGGAGGATGAGGAGGTGTTGGACGGTGAGGATGAAGAGCAGAGGAGGAGCAGCAGAGAGGCATTTGTGAAGATCACAGTGAACTTCCTGAGGAGAATGAAGCAGGAGCAGCTGGCTGACTGTCTGCAGAGCAGTAAGAGGATTTCTCTAAAGATTCAACATGATGGAGAAATGAGACATTTACTAACATCAACACATGGAGGGAAACATGTTCATATATGTTTTCTTTAGGGGAATTAAACTGTTGTATTTTCTATATGAATCTAATTTCTTTTATGTTTATTCAGAACAAGTTGCTGCAGTTTGTCGACGTGAACTCAAATCTAACCTGAAGAAGAAGTTCCAGTGTGTGTTTGAGGGGATCGCTAAAGCAGGAAACCCAACCCTTCTGAACCAGATCTACACAGAGCTCTACATCACAGAGGGAGGGACTGGAGAGGTCAATGATGAACATGAGGTCAGACAGATTGAAACAGCATCCAGGAAACCAGTCAGACCAGAAACAACCATCAGACAAGAAGACATCTTTAAAGCCTCACCTGGAAGAGACGGACCAATCAGAACAGTGATGACAAAGGGAGTGGCTGGCATTGGGAAAACAGTCTTAACACAGAAGTTCACTCTGGACTGGGCTGAAGACAAAGACAACCAGGACATACAGTTCACATTTCCATTCACCTTCAGAGAGCTGAATGTGCTGAAAGAGAGAAAGTTCAGCTTGGTGGAACTTGTTCATCACTTCTTTACTGAAACCAAAGAAGCAGGAATCTGCAGGTTTGATCAGTTCCAGGTCGTGTTCATCTTTGACGGTCTGGATGAGTGTCGACTTCCTCTGGACTTCCACAACACTGAGATCCTGACTGATGTTACAGAGTCCACCTCAGTGGACGTGCTGCTGACAAACCTCATCAGGGGGAAACTGCTTCCCTCTGCTCGCCTCTGGATAACCACACGACCTGCAGCAGCCAATCAGATCCCTCCTGAGTGTGTTGGCATGGTGACAGAGGTCAGAGGGTTCACTGACCCACATAAGGAGGAGTACTTCAGCAAGAGGTTCAGAGATGAGGAGCAGGCCAGCAGGATCATCTCCCACATCAAGACCTCACGAAGCCTCCACATCATGTGCCACATCCCAGTCTTCTGCTGGATCACTGCTACAGTTCTGGAGGAGGTGTTGGAAACCAGAGAGGGAGGAGAGCTGCCCAAGACCCTGACTGAGATGTACATCCACTTCCTGGTGGTTCAGACCAAACTGAAGAAGGTCAAGTATGATGGAGGATCTGAGACAGATTCACACTGGAGTCCAGAGAGCAGGAAGATGATTGAGTCTCTGGGAAAACTGGCTTTTGAGCAGCTGCAGAAAGGAAACCTGATCTTCTATGAATCAGACCTGACAGAGTGTGGCATCGATATCAGAGCAGCCTCAGTGTACTCAGGAGTGTTCACACAGATCTTTAAAGAGGAGAGAGGCCTGTACCAGGACAAGGTGTTCTGCTTCGTCCATCTGAGTGTTCAGGAGTTTCTGGCTGCTCTTCATGTCCATCTGACCTTCATCAACTCTGGAGTCAACCTGATGCCAGAGGAACAATCAACCTCCTGGAGGTTTCAAGTGTTTAGAGACGAATCAACACGCTTCTACCAGAGAGCTGTGGACGAGGCCTTACAGAGTCCAAATGGACACCTGGACTTGTTCCTCCGCTTCCTCCTGGGTCTTTCACTGCAGACCAATCAGACTCTCCTACGAGGCCTGATGTCACAGACAGGAAGTGGCTCACAGACCAATCAGGAAACAGTCCAGTACATCAAGAAGAAGATTGAAGAGACTCCCTCTGCAGAGAAAAGCATCAACTTGTTCCACTGTCTGAATGAACTGAATGATCGTTCTCTAGTGGAGCAGATCCAACAGTCCCTGAGATCAGGACGTCTCTCCACAGATAAACTGTCTCCTGCTCAATGGTCAGCTCTGGTCTTCATCTTACTGTCCTCAGAAGAAGATCTGGACATGTTTGACCTGAAGAAATACTCTGCTTCAGAGGAGGCTCTTCTGAAACTGCTGCCAGTGGTCAAAGCCTCCAACAAAGCTCTGTAAGTGTAGAGAGAGTTGATTTATTCATCATTATATAAAATATACTTCTGTCTTTTCAACAGGAGAGAAAATAACTTCCTTTCGTCTTTAATTCCTCATGATCATCTCTTCAGACTGAGCAGCTGTAACCTCTCAGAGAGAAGCTGTGAAGCTCTGTCCTCAGTCCTCAGCTCCCAGTCCTCTAGTCTGAGACACCTTGACCTGAGTAACAACAACCTGCAGGATTCAGGGGTCAAGAAGCTGTCTGCTGGACTGAAGAGTCCACATTGTACACTGGAAACTCTCAGGTTAGTGATTAGCTGTTTTGTATTCATAACTCCAACCCGTTATTTACTTTAAATATTGAATATTTGAGAGTTTTTCCATGAATTCCTCTTCAGACTGAGCAGCTGTAACCTCTCAGAGAGAAGCTGTGAAGCTCTGTCCTCAGTCCTCAGCTCCCAGTCCTCTAGTCTCAGACACCTGGACCTGAGTAACAACAATCTGCTGGATTCAGGGGTCAAGATGCTGTCTGCTGGGCTGGAGAGTCCACACAGTACACTGGAGACTCTCAGGTCAGGATCCATCAACCTTTTTATCTGATGGCAGTTTAACAGAGCACCAAGTGTTGACAGAGGGTTCCTGTGTGTTATATTGTGTGTTCAGTCTGTCAGGATGTCTGGTCACAGAGGAAGGCTGTGCTTCTCTGGCCTCAGCTCTGAGCTCCAACCCCTCCCACCTGAGAGAGCTGGACCTGAGCTACAATCATCCAGGAGACTCAGGAGTGAAGCTGCTGTCTGCTGGACTGGAGGATCCAGACTGGAGACTGGATACTCTCAGGTATGTAGAGGCCTGCTACAGACACACACACTGTCTGATGAGGAGGAAGAGCTGAAACATTTTCTGTGACAGATCTCTACAGAAGATCTTTGACTTCAACAACAACAGAGGAGTTTCCTCTTGATGACTTCAGTGTCTCGTTATGACTCACTGTGTCATATTTAGGAGAAGAGATCTCAGTTATGAAACCAGCTGTTGTCAGCTGTGTTTTGTGACCTAAGCAGGAATTTCAGCTTATTTGCTTCAACAGATGTTTTGTATCATGAAACATCTGTTTTCAAACTGAAACGAATCTGACACCAGATCAGATGAAGCCACAAAGTGGCTCCTTAATGAAAACTATTCAGCAGCTGTAGCTTCACTAGACTTCCTCTCTGAGTCCATGTATGTTGAGCTGAGCCTCTTTCTCTCTGCTCTACAGTTTCTCTGGCTTCCTCTGGACTTTGACTTGAAGTCAAATAAAAATGTCCCGACAGGTTTGATGGAGCTCAGGACTCATCCTGAGGACGGCTGCTTTATTCCACATGATTTGACTGATCAACAGTGAATCTGTGTCACAGCTGATCTGTCTGAAGAGTAGAAAAGTACAGAATGTCATTTATCATGAGATCCTGATCCATCCTGTCACTGTGATGACATCATTTCTATTAGAAACCCTTCATCCAGTCACTGCTGCTGTGCCACCTGTTAAAACTTGTGCACAGCCTCATTCTTAAAGCGTCCTGTGGAGTTTTCTTGTAACAAACACAAGTTGTGTTCACACTCAGTGTTTCTCACCAAAACTCACTGTGTGTTTCACTGAGCTCTCACTAATGTGTTGAGTGTGTTTCCTTCCTCATGAAACATTTCAATCATGAGTTGTTCACAGTCTTCTTCTTCTCTGCCTTTGTTGGTGCATTGTGGGATATCTTGGCTGGTTAGCTCCACTTTGTGTCTTCATCTTATTTGCTGTGACATTTGTTTGTGCAGCTTGAGAGTCAGAGACTGAAAGTGTGTGTCTCACAGCAGAACTGATATGAAATGGAGAAAACACATGATGAAATATTTCTCCATGTCTCCTCCTGCTCTGGATCATTACAAGATAAAGACTCCAGCTCCTTTTCCTCTGTGGTCAATGTACATCCATACATACAAGCCTCCATCTGAACACAGTAATCCAACAGTCTGTGTATGAGCCATGTAATGTCCATGTGTGCATGCTGACAGAGAACGTGCTGGTCTGACCCCCCTCCTCCTTTCAGGGTGGAGCCTGGTGGAGTCCGATGGTTGAGACCAGGTCTGAGGAAGTGTAAGTGTGTTTTTAATGTGATTGATGAAAACAAAGCAGCACATTCAACCATCTTCAAACTGTCACATCACTGATGTCAGGAGTCATCATCAAACTGTCAATAACACATCATCACATGATCAATAACTGCAGCTGTGTGTTGTTCTCTCCATCAGATTCCTGTGAACTCACAATCGACACAAACACAGTGAACAGAGAGATCAAACTGTCTGACAACAACAGGAAGGTGACACGTGTGGAGGAGGATCAGTCATATCCTGATCATCCAGACAGATTTGACCACTGGCCTCAGCTGCTGTGTTCAACTGGTCTGACTGGTCGCTGTTACTGGGAGGTCGAGTGGAGAGGAGGAGTTGATATATCAGTGAGTTACAGAGGAATCAGCAGGAAAGGAAACAGTAAAGACAGTGTGTTTGGAATGAACAATCAGTCCTGGAGTCTGATCTGCTCTGATGGTGGTTACTCTGTCTGTCACAACAACAGAGTGACACCTATCTCCTCCTCCTCCTCTAACAGAGTAGCAGTGTATGTGGACTGTCCCTCTGGCTCTCTGTCCTTCTACAGAGTCTCCTCTGACTCACTGATCCACCTCCACACCTTCAACACCACCTTCACTGAACCTCTGTATCCTGGGTTTACAGTCTGTTGGTCTGGTTCCTCAGTGTCTCTGTGTTGAGTGTAGCAGAGAGAGTCTCACTGTTGAACAGATAGTTCAGTCTCTACATGTCTGTCTCTTTCACTCACTCACGTTTTCAGATTCATGAATTAAATCAGTTGATTTTTAAACTGTTGTAAATGATTCTAGTAAACTTCTTCCTCTTCCTTTAA